GGGAACGATTATGTAGTCACACACGCAAAACTACTGCATATCTCAGAGCTTAACAAATGAGCCTCCTCCTTCTGTGTCAGACAGAACACAGAGGGAGGCGGGGGGGGGGTGTTGGCGGGTGTATAGTCAATCTGGACCAGTCAGCAGCAATGGAGGAGAAATCCCAACAGCCCGACAAGTAAGAGATTCGGTAATGTCCAACTCTCTCGTAGGGAGATACGACCCTAATTGAAGACCAATAAACACCTTCGGACTTCAAACTTGCGGTCTTGATGTGATAATTGCAAGAGTTTCAGAGCTTTGTTTATGTGAAATGAGTGTGCTGTGGCAAGAGGAAGAACAATGTGTCAAATTCGCAAGGCTGTGTAAGAAGATCTTTCCCGGAGAGAGAAGACGATGTTGGCTCACAATAAAAGTGGCACTTTTTTTTTTCCTCCGTCGCAGTTTGAATTGATTTTGGGAATGTCTGCAAAGAGTCTCCTCCACGCAGACCTCTCATTAATCTAGGCAATGAAAGTCAAATGAGAGGAGCTGAAGAACGATGAAAGGGACGGTAAAAAAAAAAAAACAAGGAGATATTTGCGGGGAGGAAGATGGCTGAAGATTGATGCATTTATGGCTTCATTGTGTTGCGTGCATGCTTGGCAGACAACATGTGGGTCCCTTGCAGCGTGCAGGCCAAGGAAAAAACGCCGCTGGCACGACGCCCACTCTTGTTAAGAAGCCCATTGTCGACAGAGCAGTCCGCACTCGGAGTGGAACCCGGATGGACAAAAAAAAGAAGAGCAATGCATTGAAAATACCCGTCGAAACAAAAAAATGTTTTCTGTGCAACTGATGCCAACAAAAAAAACAAATGGCTGGGACAAAGTCGCCCCAGAAATGTTCGACTTTCAGGTGTCGTATCGGAGGAGCGGACGAGAGTCGGGGTATTCCTCAATGCTAGAATCGGGGGTGTCAAGTTTAACACCTGACCTTTCTCTTGCCCTATTGCGTTGAAAGCTATTCCCTCCCGCTTTTTTACAGATTCTCTCAATCCGAGGAGCCTCGCCTTCTCATCTATTCGAACATTCTCTGCCGAGGCATATTTTGTTGTGGCACTAGCGGTTTTTGCCCTTGATGTTTTGTCCCGCTTCAATTTGTGTTTATTTGTTTGTTTTTCCTCTTCCACTGGTGCCTTGGTTCAATTAATGCTGTGACCACGCTCGTAAATCAAAATGCTTGCGTGTCCAATCATCTTTCCACATTGAAATGAATGGAAACACCAATGATCCATTGCGTAAAACCCAATAACATTTTTGGGATCTGTTTTTTTGGGTCACATCACAGTCATGCAGACACAAACTAACTACTTTCAGTGACTCAGTACACTGCAGTAATATTAGTCATTTATCGCAGAGGATAAAGAATACATGCCTGTGATTTTATGATACTGTCTGTCTACATGTGTTCACGCACCATTGGATTTCTACGTATCATCTGCGTGTGTGTGTGTGTGTGGGGGGGGGGGGGCGCTTTAGTTTTGCTTTGAGAGCCACACACCAAAGCGCCAAACATGTCTGTGTAGCCTGCTTCTGAGGGGGTTGTCACACATCTATATTAAGTGAGAGAAGCAGATGAAAAGCAGAGGTAATTAGCGACGGTTGATATGTGACTTCATGACTCCACAAGTCTTTTAAGACTCCACCTCCTCGACTTCAGCCTTCCCCCTCTTTTCACTCAGCAGGCCGGAACCCTTGCAGACTCATCCTGTTGTGATGTGTCATGTCCACTCAGGAGACCACAGAGGCGTAGCTACAACACAAACACGACTGGGACACGAGCACATTCACCCTGAGATACGCAATGTATTCGTTCCTCTATTAGGTCCATAAACACGTTTCCTCCCCGCCCTGAGTGATTAAATGAGACGTGTAGGGATGCATTCCGGATATCCTCCCTAATTTGAGCATGAGATCATGGTGCGGCGCACCGTCCTCCTGTGTCCAAGCATCGGCCTCTAGAGCAATAGCACGGCCGGTCAAAACATCTGCAAAGAAAAATATATGCAGACATTGACACAGAGAGAGGGCGCGAGAGGGTGGGAAATGATGGCGAGACAGGAGGGACAAACTTTCAGGCAAATCAGGTGTTTGCAGATAAGACCAGCCTGTGGCTGGAATATATCCGGCCGGGTTGTAACGGGGCTTCTTCATGCTGCAACAACAAGGCACTCTAAAGCAGCCATGTCAGCCCGAAGCTCTGCACACTGGCTGTCACATTGTTTTTTTTCTGCCTTCCCCTCTTGGCTCGTCTGCCTTTCCCTATCTGACGTGCGCATACTCACAGCAGAAAACGATGCACTGCTAAGCAGCCACGCCATTAGACCGTCCAAAGAGAAAATTTATTTTCATGGTGTTGACATGCTGTAGCTAGTGAACCAAATGCATGTCATGATTGAGACGGATAACCACTAAGTCGAATCCGCTCAAATTCTTCCATAGTGGGGTTTTCTTACTCATGTCTTTGAACAACGGCCCAAAAAATGAAGAAGGCTGGAATGAACAAAAATAGTTGAATGCTGTATCTCCACAAATTAGTTTCCAGCAATTATCTTCGAGCATGTATAATGTGTTGAAAAACAAATCTTTGACTTCACTTTACAAGTTATTTGAGTGCAGTTTAGACAATGAATTTGACTGCATTTCGACCAGTGTCTTGGAAGAATATGACACTGAGAAACTTTTAAAGCTAGCTGGATAATTTGGAGAGGTGGATAGATGGAAAAATGGAGACTTTATTAATCCTGAGGGAGATTCCCACAGTTTCCACAGTGTAATATTTGCCATGTCCATGTCCAGAAAGAAAAAAAAATAAATCCTCAGTTTGTCTTTAGCGTTAGCATGTGCTAACCCAACACTGGAGATCTCTGGTTTGCTTCACCAAAATTTGTTGTTTTAGGCTAACATAATGAACCTGTATGACGTCTTCAACAAGTAAACCAAAGCGTTTCAACCCGCATGAAGATCAATGAAAATGTCCAGGCTGTCAGATTATTCCGGTAGCGATTGCTGGGTTGACAAGGCAAAGCCCATGATGGAAACTCTAAGCCTGTCTGGCTCACACTTTGCTTCGTGTTTGACACCTTTCCTCCATCACCAGAACATGACAGCTAAAGTCATTTCTTCTCCTGAAAGTGGATGAGGAAGGCGTGTTTGTTTACATGAAGGGGAGGAAGGAGACCAGAGGAGCTAGCCTGGGCGTGTCTGTGCGTGTGTTTCAGGGAAGTTGAAAAGGATTTAAAAAAAAAAAAAAAAGCATGTGGTTATTGTTATAGTGGATTTTAAAGGGGGGGATTGTAACTTAAAAACATGGAACCACCCGACAGGCATTTGTGATGAGCTGATATCAAGATTATAGGTTCTGTGTAGGGTTGAGCTTTCTGAATATGCTGTTGGGGAAAAAAGACCCATCGCATTTATAAATGTGGTGCGTGTTTGTAGGGTCATGACATGACAACTCCCACTCATGACAAAGCACAGTAGGGCCTTTTGCACTGTCCAAACAAGGGCAAGCCAATGAAAACACACATTCAGGCAGCCATGCACACCATTTTTCATCTAATGGCCACTTTCTTCAATACCGTTCACCCCTCAGCGAGACTCGGAACAATACAAATCGCGTTATATTAAAGAGGAAAGAACAGATTTCAGTTTTTCACAGAACCTTGTAGAAACTGCACCGTCATGGTATGTTACACGAGAGGCAATGAGGTCAACACTAACAGAGCAACAACCTCAGACTTTTTCACCTTTCTGAGTTCAGATGGTGTCAGCTAAAATCATATCCCTGTCGGTTCATATGTACACCAGTCATGTGCTACGTTCCACTTGAAGCACACATCGGCAGCAAAGACTGTCCTTAGAAGGCTTTGCAAGTGGATGACTCGTGATGTCATCTTTTTGATCCCGATTACCCCCCCCCCCCCCAACCCTTGTATCTGTTGATATCACATTGTTATTTTTCCATCTTAGCCTTTGCGGACCGTGTGGAGCACTCGATCTTCATTCAGCCAGACGGGCCCCAGACATGAGGTAAGACGTGAAGGAGCTTAATGATGATGAAAAGGGCAAATACCAGAAACACATTCAGACATTTTTGCATGTATTAGTGCAGTGGAACGGAGAAGAGGCCCAACCCCAGCGCTGCGTGACCTCCTCGAGAACGTGTTTGACGGCACTATAATTCCAACAAAGTGAAAAGTATTCATTTCCGTGACAGCAATGTTAGTTTTGACAAATTCCATTCCGTTTTTTCCATAGTTGTGAGCAACATAAGTGGCATCCGCTCATTCATCATGGGGTAAAACATGGCCTGTGTCTAAGCAGCCTATTGTCTTCTCAGAGTAATTGTAAGCTTTCGATAATACTCGAACTAGAACACACAGAAGTCAAAAATATAAATGAATCTCGCGAACAGTGTGGGATTGCGTTACTTTTAGGGAGGAAATGTTCAAATTTAGACCGCACTGCGATCGTGCTGTGGTCAGATGGGCACTGAGAAAAAAAAAAATGTTCCTGAGGATCTTGGACATACAATGTGACCAAGCTGAAGTATCAACTCTGAATATTTTACTCACCACATAGCAAAAATGTAAACGTTGCTGCAGCCGAGGAAAGCCGACTCATCGATGCATCAACTAATCAGTTCAAACTCCGAAAAGGCAGATGGCCTGTGTAATCATGTCACATCATCTCAAATTAAAAGCTTTCCCTTCCTCTAAACCATTTTAAGTAAGAGTTCAGCAAAAGGAAGAAAAAAAAAACAGGTAATGCGCTAAGATCGAAACGCTTTCGATGAGGAGGCCAGAATTTGAGCAGAACATCAATCAAGCACCAGAAGCAAGAAGAGAATGTACTTAATGAATCATGACGAGCTCACCAAACATGTACTTCAAAACCACGTCCACTTAAATCCATCCAGGACAACCCAAAGTCTGATTTGTAAGTCTTTGTACTTACCCTGGAAGGCATCCGAGTGGCGAGCGATCAGGTGCTTCAGCTCATAACTGTATAAGTAAATGTTGTGGAGGGTTTCTCTCCTCACTGCGAACTGGTAGCTTTCCTCCATCTTGCGGGTGCAGCAAGATGGACCCTGGTGCTTGCAGACCAAGAGATCCACATCTGGGAGAGAAAGGAAGACAACGACACATGTAACTCGCCACTCGGTTCAGCAGTTTTCCTGGTCCGTGTTACATACTACAAACAAATAATTAGGGGTTTTACTTTGAATTGAGGTTAGGGGTCATTGATCCAGTAGGAAATTCCAGACTAGAAGCACGTATCCATTTAGAAGTAGCGAGTGGATTTTTCCATCCCATTTGCAACCATAGTTGATTTTAGTTTTTAGGCTCACTGAAGCTTTCAAGAACTGCGTTTTCCTTGTGGTGTATTCCACAAGTAAAAATGAGATGGACACGAAGACCCTAACAGCCAGATCCTGTAGGATCTTGATCATAGGTGTCAAAGTCGAGGCCCGGGGGCCAGATCTGGCCCGCCAAATCATTTTATGTGGCCCGCGAAAGCAAATCAAGCATGTCAAGTCCCATGATGTTTGCTAAAGTCTGAACCAAAATTTCAAATTGTCGTATGTAATCCACAAATAACAGTCATTATTCTTGATTTCTGATTTTAAAACTAGTTATCCGTCAATTTGTTGTGCGCTTTGTATGTAATATGTGGAGGTGATTAAACATTTCTATGGTTTCCCAAAATTCAGAACGGCCCTCCAAGGGAAACCGTACCTACAATGTGGCCTGGGACAAAAATGAGTTTGACACCCCTGATCTTGATGATATGGGGACCCAACACGGCACAGTCAACAAGGTAGTATGAAAGATTGGTTCAAGCCTCAAAAACTCGTATTGCATCTAAAACGTTGAAAACATTCCGTTGGCAAGGATGACGCGATTGTTGACGTTACAACGCAATACGTTTGAAAGAGACCAGCTGACACTTGCCGCCGCTAATAATAAACCTCGATGAACAGGAGTCCAAATCCGATGTAGTCCTGTCGCTTCCGGGGGACTACAGATTTATGTATATCTCATATGATTGTCCAGTGTGGAGCCCGAGTATGCGCGTGTTTGTATAGCGGCCTGAGTATGCACACAGATAAACAGCCCATAACTCTGCTGGGAGACACAAGAGGCACTATGGGAGGGTGAGAAAGTAGACCAAGTATTCAACGACATTTCCTGCTAAAAATACTTTCTCTGCCGAATCCAGAAAACATCTTCAGCTGACATTAATGCGCTGTTGTTGTGAAGTGCAGTCACAATTTACATTGGACAAAACGTGCATTTCATGCGCTTGGCGAGAACAAACGGGGCACGAGGGACGCAAAACGTAATCAACTTTTAAATGAGCCAGACAATGCCCGTTATGGCACGACTCCCAACAACCTTACAAAGGCAATGACCTCACAATGATCCAATAAACAGCTCCATCGGAGCTATTACATCAGCTCCAAAACGAGGCCAGCGTCACCTGATTCACACCATTATAAACACGGCCATGACATCATTGAAAGCGGTCACGATGCGCTCGGATCTATTCAAACAGTCTTTTTCCCCCCCACTTGTTTCCCTGCCCAAACTCTTTTACGCTTAGAGAGCCCCGTCGTGCGGTCGCTCGATATGATAACTCGCGCTAAAGGGGGAAGGGCTGGAAGGCAGGTGTTGTAACAAGAGCCTAAAGTATGGCCTTAGGACAGACCGCAAGACCACTGCCTCAGCGACCAAATCCCTCCATGAAACACAATAGGGTTGCATTCTCAATCCCTCTTTCCCTTTCTGCCCCCTCTCTCCCATTTGCCTGGCATATCCTCGCGAGGCTTGGGTGTCTCTTAATTACTCCATTTGTTCCCATCTCAGAGCCAGACGAGTCGAGCGATAACCGCATCTTCTGCCCCATTCCAACTCATTAGCTCATCCCGTTCTTGAATGTTGACGTTGTCCATATTTTGAACTTTGTGCACCTTGGTGCACGATAACTCGGTCGTATGATTGAAATGCGACTCATGTCACCTCTTCGGATAGCTAATAGGCGCCGTGAAGTGAATTCGAATACATCATCATTCCAATTTGGCTTCTTTGTCGTGCGTCCAATTTCGAAGGCGCCGATTTTCACATGACAGGCGCTCGTCATGCTCAGCGCAAAGTCGTAGTGGCACAACATATTGATGATAGCTTGGACTGCAGTTTTAATTTTCTTGACAATCAATACGCTGATGACACATCGTGATATCCCTGTCAAGTCGATGACACCCTAACCAATTCCTGACCGACGGCGAACCCGATGCCACAGCGCAATGAATAAATATCATTTACTGCTTCTTTCGAGTCATGCGCGCGGTGAGCTCATCGTGCGTGATCTCGCTCTCCTTTTCCTCGGCGTTTGCGTATTATCTCTCTGATATGAAATGAATATGCAGGAGACCCTGAGTGTAATCCAGGCCGACCTCAGTGTCCCTTGCGAGTAGCTGGATGAAGTCAGTGATACGCAGAAAGACTTTTGGCTCTTAAAGCCATCACGGCGGTCAGGACTGTCTGACCGTGTCACAAATATACCTGCTCACTTTTTTTTTGGGGGGGGGGGTCATTAGCGGCCACGCCACGTGTGTTTGCAGTCGTTTAGCAACCAACCGCTGAGTCTTTTGAATCTGTGGAACGTTTTACATAGCAAACAGAATCGCAGTGCCTTCTGTCTGAGAGCGGGTGGGAACTAAAATATTCTTCAAACACGGGGGCCGCTTGAAGGTCTACCAGTAAGTTTGGAGAGTCACAGCGCTCTCCAAAGTTCAGTCTGATGGCTACTGTGCACCTTTGGCAGGAGTTCCGAGGCAATTCGGTTCGTCGAATTCAAAAAGCAGATCAGCTGTAATTTATCTGGCAGTTTGGCGGGGTTAATGCATCTGATTAAAGGCCTCAGCAATCAACTGACCATTGGGTTGGATTTCTGCTACGTCTCAAGAGTGAATGGGTTGTCTAGAGGTAGCTCGTGAAATCAATGTGCGCCATATGGATTACTTAATTTTGAAAAAGAAAAAAAAAAGTGATCTCATTGTTCGTCTTTCCACAACTGCTCAAGCAAGGTCCAACTGCTTAAGGAGCGCATTGTTCCCAAAATGGCACTTTGGACGTAAACTAATGACTGAGCTCGCTTTCCCAGAGGTGATTTCATTGGAGCTAGTTCAACAAATCATCTCTGCAGAGTTGTGTACTGTACGCGGGCTTGGTAAAATAAACAACATTCTGACAACTGTGATTGATGAGGAGCTCGAAAGCAGATTGAAAAGAAAAGAAAATAATTCAACAGAATTAATTTCGAAAAACAAGGGCCTGTTTAGCTTTTGCTTTTTTGTCATGTGCGTGTGTGTTTGGGGTGGGGGGGGGGGGCTTGACAGACACAAGTGTAGTCTCCAGCTTCTTTGTAATTAGTGGCCACTGAATTTATTCTGCCTGGCTAAACCGTTGACACAGTTCACCCCTAAAACTCAACTCTGAATCCTAATTCCCTTTAATCATCCTCAGGTGACAAATACCTCTGGAGCAATTTACCATATTAAATCAACGGCTCGGGGGTCTTGGTTTGTTAGAAACAATCCCTTCAGTGACAGCTCAGTGCCCTTCGATGCACAAGTCACAACTATAATTGCCACGCTTGCTCACATGCCATGTGCGATACACCGTGTCACAGTAGCTGAGCGGAATACTGCTGAGAGGGCAGTTTTTTCAAGCAATTAAATTAAAAAAAAAAAAAAAAACGACACGCCGGCCACAGCTCTTTAATATGGTTACACACAGATCAAGAAGGGGGTTAAGGTTTCCTGACACTGTTATTTTGATATTTTACATGAGAACAAGAACAACATTGTAAGAAAACAAGCAATTAAAAGGTTCTTCGGCCTCGGGGAAACTGGTTCCCCTTTTAACTTGTCTGATCCGGTAAGCATACAGGATACGCATGCTTTTACAGATGGGCGGGGCTTGGGGTGGACCGTGCCAAATGCAAACACACCTCAAAAGGAGTCTTTGCAGCATACCTGCATTTTTTGGACAAGGATAAAAGCGGTGGTGTTTGGCTATTGGAGACCTGTCAGGGTCTGGCTCATGGTACAAAGCGATGGCAAAGACGAGGGGTCAGACAGAGAGCGCTAAGAGGGCGAAGCGCAAGGCTGACGGGCCGATAGCTACGGACACGATTAGATCAGAGGTGCCGAGACGCTGGCAAAGAATGTCGTTGAACTCTGAACAAGTAAATGTCAGAGTTCTTGAAGACGCAGCTTTTTGTGAAGCTCCGGGGGCCAGAGAACTGTACATTTAGCCACGTGAACACAATACACATGATTGCCAGTGACTGAAATCCAACAAGGGATGTCAAAGAGACTCGGGCATGGGAATCAACTTCGGACTGGCGCGACGCGGGTAAGGCTGGGGCGACGGACAAAGAACCTCCGAGGCGATTGTGGAGTTGGCGAGGCCATCTTGCGCTTTGCTACTCGCTCTCGATTGCCATGACGAGCTTGCCCTGCTGGGAATGTTGTATTTGATTGAAGTAGGAAGTTGGGAAAACACAGATGCGCAACAATTTTTGCCGACGTGGAGGAGGATGTGTTCCCCCATGTGTTTGCCTTCTCAGCAAGAAAGGCCAAGTTAAAAGGAGAATCCAAAGACAGAATCGACGGCCAATCAAAGGCCATGCTGAGCTTAGAGGGCTTGCCAAAACTTTTGATGGTCTAACTGGTTAAGGATGTGGCAACATGTGATAACACACAGAGCTTCCATTCCCCCTGCGAGTAGACATGTGATGATAACACACAGAGCTTCCATTCCCCCTGCGAGTAACGCATGACCCGATCGCTTTGAATTTAGGATGCACTGCACAGTGTTTCTTCACCCCTTGAACGACGCGGTATAAATTTGCCAACGGCAGTCAGCGAAAGAATTTTCAAAAGAAAAGAAGCCAACCGTCTGAACAGTGACGCTGAGGCTTTATGACCTAATCTCACGATGTGATGTTGTATAAATTTGCCAACGGCAGTCGGGGAAAGAATTTTCAAAAGAAAAGTGCATGTTTTTACATAATCAGATAAGCCACGCGCTAAGAGGAGTGTTTTAAATGAGCTATAAAATACGTGGACGGTGTCTGAGGATGTTCCCCAAGAAGCCAACCGTCTGAACAGTGACACTGAGGCTTTATGACCTAATCTCACGATGTGATGTTTGGCTGCGTATCACGACATCGAGGCAGCACGCAGTAACACCCTTGAAAAATCTCACGTCAGCGATCGTCTTTGCCCCCCCCCCCGCACTGATCTTTTGAGTTTGATTAGGACACGAAATGTGAGCCGCCCCCCCGCTGATCTTTTGAGTTTGATTAGGACACGAAATGTGACGCTGCTGCTTTTGGGGTCGTGTAAGGATTTAAACATTCTGTGAATAAACACAACACAAAATGTACGCCCTCCCAGTGGTTTTTTTTTTTTTTTTTTGGGGTCGTGTAAGGATTTAAACATTCGGTGAACAAACACAACGCAAAATGTACGCCCTCCCAGTGGTTTTTTTTTTTTTTTTAACATGACCATTTCCAGTTAGCAGTGTCTGATGTTCCCCATTGCCACATTCCACCTGGCACGTTTGATGAGAAATCTGTTTCAGCACACAGGAATGAAACGCAGCACTGTATCCTGACACAAACGTCACACTGTGAAAGGAGCTGAAGTTTTGCCACTTCAAATTTCAAACCCTTGCTTTTGTTGGCATTTGATCTGTCAAAGTGACGCGGTGTAGCGCAACCTCCGTACACACAAACACACACACACACACACACAAACACACGCAGCAAATCTCCCACTCAAACATCCCCCACCGCTGTTAACCACTTTGAAGACATGATCGAGCCTGACCCAAAACAACCTACTCTAAAGGCGAGTGTAAATAAAAAGCAAAACAAGAAGCCCAAAACGTTCACATAAAAAGCAGTGCGGTGTTGGATCAGCTGGGAACTCAGGAGGCGATAACAGAAACCTTAGAAGCCTAAAAACATCAGAATTTAGAGGTAGGTTTGTTCTGTGCTATCACGATGAGGGTCGAGGAGGGTCATCGTTAGTGTAGTGGTTCACATACACACCCCCGACAAAACCTTTGGGGCAGTGAAGCTTCTTACTTTATTTCGGCGGTCGAATGACAACACATGAATATAATACAAGAGATCAACATTGCATCCAGAACGGGTCGAAAACTGATGGCAGATCAATTTTAAGAGCTGACAAGAATGAACCCTACTCAACTCTTAGTGAAACCAGCAGCGGACTTCGAGAACAAAAGCAGAGAGGCAACAGCAGACACCAGAAGTTGCAAACCACTAATGTTCATGACGAATAGGAAGGCCAGGCTGGAATTTGTTAAACAGTACAAAGATGAGCCTCAAATATTCAAGACATAAGAAAAAAAAGAGTTTTTGTTCTGTTTTTGGTTGTTTCCCCAACAAACAAACCGCCTCCTTGAAATGTCCGGTGCACCGATATTTGATTCATTTCAAATTCACATGGAATTCCGGAAAGCAGCTGCAGTGAGAGACTGTCGCATTCCCATTTACCGAACAAAAAATGCATTACAAATACATCGCACACTACTTTAGCTTGTCATGCTAAACTCAATGCCGACTGCCGGCATCCCCCCGAAGACCAAGGTCCTTCTGTCGTCCGTCCGTGAGCGCGCAACCCGCCACTACTGCTTATAAATGAAACGGTCATCCTCTGGTTGCTAATGGTGACAACAAAACAGCTGAACAAACAAATATCATATGGTTCGGTTGCACGTTCCCGCTTGGCTATCCGTTGCTCCGCTCCGATGTCGAGCTTCATACCCAGAAAGGGTGGGATGTTTAGCCAGCCAGCTTTACTTCCAAATGGCGCATTTAAAGGGTAAAACTGCTCAGCATCAACATGAATGCAAAGCTGGTAGCCGTGGCCCCAACGTCAATGGAATATGTGTTAAGAGCTCTGACAACGCGAACCCCCGAGAGAAACTCAGCATAGTTGAACCAAAGCCTGAACTCTCTCCAAATGTGTTTTACCTCCAAAATGTTCTTGGAATTGATGGTTATCCTCATAAAACGACTGTTCCCTTTTGGTGAAGAAGGAAAAACACATACCGCAACGTGAAAAGACATTCATACGTAATCTGGTAAGGGAAAAGCAGATGCCAGAAAGAGATTGTTTCTTTAAGATGCATCGTCAGAACTGAACTCATTTTCGAGATATCGCGATATGCAACAAAGTAAAATTCTGACGCTTGCTCTATCGTCAATTATTTGACGACGTGAAATCATGTTTGTCAGCGCAACCTCAAAATGTGAACATCCCAACTACTGTAGTACAGTGGTGCACCGAGTTTTGAGATGCGAGTCATCATTCCATTTTTTTTGGCCAAATTGCCAGGTTTACTGTCAAACTAAACATAAAACAAAAAGAATTACATCAACATGTGTAGAAATATAATACGCAACAATACTCGAGGCATATATTCTTTATCCTCCTAGAAAAAAAAACGAGTTTTACAGCATCTGAAAGATTCTCTTACATTAGTAGCAGACGTCGAAGTTTTATTCTTCTGATTGTGCCTGCATGACTATTATACTGCCCCCGATGGCGAAACTAGACACACCAAAAAGAGAAGCACAACTTATAATCGAGCACTTTTTTGTGGGGGTGAGGATGCTTTAATGGAATTGCTATTCATTGCAATGGGGAAAGATTAATTGAGATGTTTGATGGCGGGCGGTGCTGGAGTTGATCCCAGCTGACCCCATGCGAAAGGCAGAATACACCCTGGAATGGTCACCAGTGAGTCACAGAGCACAAACCAAGACAAACAACCACTTACATTTGCATTCACACCTTCACTGCCTGTACACAAGTTAATGTACCACTACACCATTTTTCACCCATATCGGATTTTAAAAAAATAAATACATTTGATGAATTGTCATTGTTTTTATCTCATTTTAAATTGTAAATACAATTCAGTGTTACAAGATATCATACTAGTTTTAACAAATAAATGAGGTGAATGTTACAAAATGGGTTTTCTCTCTTCATTTTTTAATCTTGAAAATGTGTTTGATGAGGGAGGTCAAAGGAGTTTTGATGGAAAAATGTTCACAGTGTTTTACTTTAAATTGTCAATATATATGAATGTTACAATATATAACACGATTAAAACATATGTTGAATGTTACAACACATTTTTTCAGTTTGAAAAGTTTAATAGCTCCCTAATTTATATTTTTATGTCATGTAAAAGAAGCTCAATGAAAGTGTTACATGATTTCTTTTTACACGTAAATTGTGAATCCATGCAAACGTAACGTAATACAAGATGACACTTTTTTAACATGTATGAATGTTACTGAACATCACACATTGGAAAAAAAATGTGCTGCATTGACTCAATTTTATTTTGTCAAGAGGTTGCACAAAATAAAATCAGCTGAATCCAAGACATACATTTTTATGTAGGCTATACACATACTTAAAACATGTATCTAATTATATTGTTTAGTGCAACCACTTCACGAAATAAAAATGAGTAAATTCAACCACCATTTTTTTTCAGTGCACGTTTTAGTTCTTTCATACACTTTCATTTATACAGTATCACCAACCAATAAGATCAGCAGAAACAGACAGACAGATAGATAGATAAATAAATGCTTTTCAAGCATTCGTTGTTGCATGCTTCATCAACAAGGTGGAGAAAAAAAGCTATTTGTAATTTATGTAAACAAAATCCAAATTCAAGCACATTTTAAGCACCTTCAGTCATAAGTATGTACCGTATGGCTATACACGTGCCACTTGTGTTTCGTGGTTTTCCAAATGGCCAAAGTGCAACTCAGCCTTTCTTAGCAACGTTTACTGGATCGGTCATGCCACACTGCAGAGGAGCGCGGGGGGGACGAGGGGGGTGTCTCACCTGTGCCAGGTGTCTCCGGGACTCGATGCAGGGGGCCGACCTGCCTCACCTGGAAGGCGGCCCTCACCTCATGACAGCTGTACGCGCCCACCTGGAGCGCGCTCGCCGCCAATAAGAGCGCCAGCAAAATCCCCCAAACTCCGCGGGAGTTCACGCGTGGGCATATTCCTGCACGGGACATTGCCGCATGTCACACCGGACCGGAAAAGCCTGCTGGATGGATGGATGGATGCAGCCCCTTCGGGGGAGTGCGCGCGTGTATGTGTTTGTGGAGTCCAGAAAATAAGCGACGAGTTTTTAAACATCTGATCCAGACTGATGTTTTGTTCACATTATTGGTCGAGAGAGGTGTGCTGTCTGCGCCGTGACACGGGAGGAGTGCAGCTGGGTACGTGTCTGTGTCTCTCCACGCCGGGCGCGCGCACGCCCCCCAGCCTCACCCCCCCCCCGTCCCCCCGCCTCGAGCAACCCCCTAATAAAACTCACTCACCCTTTTTGTGTGCGTATCGTTCATGCGCGTCAGCGTTCAACAAACGAATCAACTATTTTAGATGATGTGATACGCAGGTGGGCTTTCTTGTTCATTTACTTTCGATTTAAACACGTCGTCATGAATCACGTATGAGTCGGATGACATTATTCATCTAGAATGTAGGATGCGGGTTTGTTTGTTATCGAGTGGGGGTGGGGGGGGGGGTGACTACCGCGTGTCATTTATGATTCTTGCTCACGTCCATCAAGTTTCATAAAACGGCGAGTTCGAATGGATTGAGTTTGCTTCCACCTACTGGTGAAAACTGTTCAACCCTTTGCAACGGATATGACATTGAGCCACCAACGCACCACAAAATCTTTGGAAAATATAGGGGATAAACCTCCAGTACAAGTTTTCCCAAAAACTGGGGTCAGCTGCCCCTAAAATAATAATTAAAAAAAAAAAACTTTAGGAGAAAAAAAAAAAATCTTCAAAAAGGTAGACCTCCGGTGCCGAATTGCACATATGCGGAAGGCCAGTGGCTATACAGTTGTGCCTTGACATAAAAGGTTGATTTGTTCAGTGGCCACGCTCATAACTGAAAACACACGGACATTCCATTCAGCCACCCACAACTACCAAATTTGGAAACATTAATTTCAATAAGGTAAATTGCACTCGAGGGAAAAGTTAATTATTGAGGTACTATGTTTGTCCTGCATATCATTCCCAGCAAAAATTATTCTGACTACTCATATTATATCATAATATATCCAGTATATGGCAGTATAAGACCCAGAATAGATGCAACTAAGACATGTCTGCCATCTAGTGGTTATTGGTGCTATTACAAATTAAAACTACATTTGCCCCTGCATATTCACAGTTTGGCAAACACGGATTTGCATGGTGGCAGATTCCCCCCACCCCCCCCCCACACTTTTTTACAATTTTTTTTTACTTTTCAGGGTTTTTTCCATGGAAAACGCATACTAAATATTTTTCAGCGTTTTATAAACAATTTGGGGGGGGGGCGGTTATAAAAAAAAAAAAAAACTACAAATTAATCGAGAAAAATAGAGGGCCACCAGTTGCCCATCCCTGCTAAAGCTGATTTGACCGTGGTGGATATGCTATTCGTCACAAGAGGGAGACAAAGTCTAAGAAAACAACACCGAGGATCCTGTCAGTCATGGGCCATTAGGTGGTGGGTCGATAACGAGGTAGGTGGGCAAGACAAATGCAGTTTACATCGCGCATTTCACACACAAGGAAATTCAGTGTGCTTCACACAATTAAAAGTACAACATTTAAAAGCATTTACAAAAAAAAATTGTAAAAGAGATTAAAAAGTAAAGAAAGTAGAGCGGCTCACTAAAATTGCAAACAGAGCATAGAGTGCAAGAAATGGGTTTATATACCATGAGTATTTCTTTTATGTAAGAAGGTAGAGTAGGTCGGTAGCATGATTTCCCACATATTTTGGAGGTACGGTCCACTGAAACCGAGGTTGAGCTTTTTTGGGCCATAATTCCATTAGGTGTGTTTGAGCGCAAACATAACACGATTCATCACCTCAAGAGCACCCCGGGGTGGTGGCAGTATCATGCCTTGAGGCTGTTTTTCTTTTTTTCTTACATTTATAAATTATTTTCTCAGCTCAACTTTAGTTTTGGGAGACCAAAAAAAAAATCCCGGGCCTCTTCTTTCTGCTCTGATTATGCATCTCATGTCTTCAAATACTGTGTGACCGGACTTTAGCCCATCAGTTCTGGCCGTCTAAACTGGGGATTTAAGGGGCTTACATAGGGTTAAACCCTCAAGATTGAAGCCTTCCATCGACTGTTCGAGAGATTACGCTTTGCAGTCTCCCATTTTCACCTCTGCGTTTGGCCGGATGTGCGGAGGGGCGGTGGTGGTCAGAGGCAAGCCTCGTCTTGATGCCTCTGGAGGGCGGAAGCGGTGATGATTTAGTGTCAAGAAGCGTGATTAACTTGAACATTAACCCACGCTGTACAGATGGAGGATCAAGCAGTCGAGGAAACACACTTGCTTGTCAACGGAATGGCCCTCGGTAAACCACAGACCTCAGATGTGCAGTTGTAAACGGTCAGATCTGGAAAGCACTGGTGAAAGAGTTTATTGTGAAAGGTCATTATTTAAAGGTTTTACTTCGTCAGATACTTTGTATGCAGCGACGGCTGTATGAAAGTGCTCTATAATAAATACAGTTGAGTTGAGAAACATGGAAATAGTGTACTGTGGATTCAGCTCATCTTGGCTTCTCAGTATAGCAGTATGCTTGTGGAGGCTCTCAGTCGTACAGGAAAGTTCCATCGTAGAAAGGGTTCTGTCAGTCGTCATCTGTACCTGTGGGTAAAAAACAAAAAACAAAAAAAAAAAAAAAAAACAAAAAAGGACGTTTCGCTTCTCTCACAGAAGCTTCGTCAGCGGTAGACAACCCTGAAGTCTCCGTGAAGACTCCGGGAAGTTGCTCTGCGCTAAAAGGCTGAGCGTGGCCTGTTTGAGGACTGGGTGGGGATGGTTAGTTAGATGAACAAGTAAAAATCCTAGGAACAGAAAAGAGATGGTTTGAAAGGGGAGTAAAGGAAGCGATTTTTGTTAAAAAATTTTCACCCTCTCTGAACCGTGAAGGAGGTATCAGATTTAACCTGTCTCCTATTTACAATAACTTGTTGACCAGTAAGGGACATAGACATGCTGATCAGGCTAACTGAAAGTAGCTATTCAGCCTTAGCCCAAACAATAGGCCTAATCAAGACCCAATGATAGGGAGTTTAGAAACCAATGGGCCTCTTCACCATAGGGGCGTGACTAACCATCCCCACCCAGTACTCAACCCGGCCACGCTCAGCCTTTTAGCGCAGAGCAACTTCCCGGAGTCTTCACGGAGACTTCAGGGTTGTCTACCGCTGACGAAGCTTCTGTGAGAGAAGCGAAACGTCCTTTTTTGTTTTTTTTTTGTTTTTTACCCACAGGTACAGATGACGACTGACAGAACCCTTTCTACGACAGTATAGCAGTAATAATGTTGTTCTTCGCAGAGGATGAAGAATACATGCTTGTGAGTATTATATTGTCTCTTTAAATTTATTGCATATAGGGTAAAACCAAATAGATGCTAATTTATAACTTGTGTTCTTATGAAGTTTCTCATTGTAGAGTATGTGATCATTAGTGTTGTAGAGGCATGTAATACTTTTTTGTTTTGTTTAGTTTCACAGTAAGCTCAAGCTGCATGGCAAATAAGAATATTTACTAATAAATCAAGCCGCTGCTTATTGTGAAGTTTGATGAATCACCTGCCAGCATACTGTGTTCATATCTCAAGAAACTCGAAAGTTGGGTTACTCGTATCTCGAGGCACCACTAAATTTGAAAAAGCCCTCACCAGGGTCTTTAATATGAAGCTCCGTAGCTCCTGTTTTCTTCCCAAATGTATGAGTCAAACAGTCTCAGACAAACAGATAAAACTAAAATATCTTATGTGCTGTTTTGAAATGCTATAAGATGACATTCTCCCAAATTCTGCAACATATTGCAGGAAGTAATATTAGAGCACTCTGCGCTGTACTTAAGATTCTACTCAACTTGCAAGCAGTTATGAAACATGGAGTGGTCATAAGGTGATGCGCATTAATAGGCAGAGAGGGAAGCGTATGCTCCATTTCTCTTTGGCTGGGGATGTGAGTGGTGGAAGTAAGCCCATGCTGCATCTTTCATGAGCGTCTGACATGTTCAGTGCCACAGTCGCGCCATCTGTCCAGCCCTCCTCACCTGTTCGGGAAATGCTAGCAAGCCTCTCGGGCGCTGTCAAGGGTCACAAATCCACCACCACCAAGTCGAAGAGGAAAACACCCCAATGCCAATTATTTAAAGCACGCGCCTAATAAAACATTCAAAAGCTGAGCCTGTGGCGTATATTCCACTGGCTGTATCTATGGTGATGACTAATTGATTGCTTTAATGGCTTTTATGGGCTTTTCATTAGCCTGTAACAGCAACGGATCGATCAACGCAACATCATTTTAAGCGTGAGTGAACTTAACACGAGGCGGCCGCTGCAGGGCGCATTAGTCCGTACAAGAGAACTGACATTAACGTCAGTGTGTTCTATTAGGTGGTGAAAAGACAACACAGGATAGCTTGCAGGCATATTAAAAAAAAAAAAAAAAAGGATGCTGGGTGAGTTGATGTCTGCAATGGGAACTGTGATGTGATGTCAGATGTACAAAATGTGAGAGGATTTCTCTTTCAGATCGTTCCTTATGGGATTTATTATGCATTTCCCAGTTGTAGCAACAACTGTGACACACTTTTGTTGAAATACTACAAGGATAGAGGACTACTGGCGATTTTAACCGGATCATAAACTCTAATAGGTAGGGGTGGAAGGGTTCAAAAAATCCACTGTTCGGTACATGCCGACACTGTGGATTGAGGAGAGTCTTTTTGGCGTAACATTCTTTGGCGACATGTATCGTGCTTGTTTTTTTTTTTTTTGCGAATTCCCTGGCAGCATGTTTACAAGCAACAGCAGCCCTGTTTTTAATTGACTGAAGAATATCGGCGCTATTAGACGTTTGCCACTTGTCTACTACACAGAAAAACCACAAGAAGCTTCATGCCAAATGCATCCCGGAGGAGATATGGAGAGGGAGGAGAGCCGGCACTAAAATGTAGTAAAGTGAATTAAGGGAGACGACTAAATTGGACAGGGGAATTGAAACAATCATTCTGTACTGTATGTCTGTTTCTCGCTATTGACTGTGGAAAAAGAACTACAGTTTCTTTTCAAACTCATCTTGTAAACAACGTGAATGACATCATGCACCCGATGATGGCAAAATTACAATTTCAGCACCTGGCGCCCATATGCTGGCCGTTGTGGTCGTCAAATTTGCTCCCTCTCAGATAGTAGAGCAGCGGTCCCCAACCTTTTTTGCCCCCGGAACCAATTTAATGTCAGACAATATTTTCAGGGACAGGCCTTTAAGGTGTGACCTGCATGAAAACTGTGGTATTTCCCAAAGAAACTTTTCCAAAGACGTTTGTTTTTTTACTCATTTTGCTATCTCCAGGGTGAGCGGTAACCTATCACGTGACCAAGAAGCGCGCCTTGACCTGCGTCAAGATACAGTATATACACATATACATACTGTAGACGGATGTAACAGAGAATCCGGTAATTTTTCAAAATAAAACATCTTTCAGAGTCCGAAATAAATGAAACGGAAGTCATGTAAGTTATTTATTCTTTCTGTTAGGACCGGTCCCAAATGACCGACGGATCGGTGCCGGTCCGCGGTCCGGGGACTACTCGTTTAGAGGATCACGCCATGAATGCTAAGTGTGTGTGCGCTCGCGCGCGAGTTAATTGGTTACAGGTGCTGGCGGTCGACAGGAGAACGAAGTGCAGATCAAACGTAGGAGCCCCCATGTTCTCGGAGGTAGGCATGTCGCGTGAGACCCCCCCCAGATACTCCATGCTGCTCTGCAATGTTCGCCGCTCGCTAACCCGTCATACAGGGAAGTAACTAAGCGATCGAGTCGTCGGAGGAAGGACACGTGGTGTTGTGTTCAATCTCTGTGACCCAAGTACTCACCCTGCTGTGATGTTCTCCCCCGCACCGCGGCGACGACACGGAGGGTCTGGGCCGGACTACAGAAGAAGAGGACCGAGGAACTCATGGACTGCACTGAGCTATTGAAGAAGAAGCCAGAGACGCGCTGCCATTCGAGCCCGAATGTCTTTCGCGCTTGTCGTGAACTTACAATACCTTGATTGCCCACTAGGTGGTCTATAATATAATTAGAGTCCCACCTGGCGTGATTTCAGAACCCATCCGTCTGACCTTCGGGTTTTGAACTTTGGCTTTTCAGTCTCCAAAGTGTCGAACCTGTTAAACTATCCCCAACTCCTGTCGATGCTGTGTGGCTCATTGCATAAATTAAAACATTTTTTTCGAGCGTGTTACCTAAGTGTGTGTGTGTGTGGGGGGGGGGGTGCACATATCTACAGCTTAAAATTTTACTTAATTGTTTAATTTCACACTTGGTGGTTGGGCCGGAGACCAAATAATTTGCATACAAAAAAAAGTACATTTTCCATAAGTCCCAATATAATGAATGCTTTGTTTTGTCTCTTGGCATTTAAAGCAAGACATTCTTCCACACGGATCCTTTATCTATCAATAACATTCAGCTTTGAATACAGTTAACCATCCATTTACTAATGTATTCAAGTGCCTTTCAAGCATGTATTGAGTGTGTAAATTAAAAACTAACATTCATTGACTCCCACTTCACACTCCTCCCTGTCCCCGAGGGAGTGTCCTCGACTGTTCACAAAACAAAGTGCTGTTGTGCACCTAGGTGGAACAATTTGTTTAACCCCGTTCACCCCTTGGGATTCCCTCACAGTCTGTATTCACTGAACTCCTGAGGGCTCTAAGTAGGATCCTTTGCACACATGGGCCGCGCACAGAGGTCAGTCTGCATTCTTTGTGCATGTGTGCTGATTTGGTCTGTGCAGAGCCGCTTGCTTTGTGTCTGGCTAATCGACCACGTTGCTTACAAAAGGCAGGGAAAAAAGGTGGTGTCTACTTCTTTTTTGTCAGAGCGTTTTACGGCACTCGGATCATAGCAATTGGCTATTTATGGCATGCGGCATGTCGTCAAGAGACAAGCGTTTGAACTACCGACAACAGTGATGGTCTAATTTGGGAATTTTGCAATCCTGAAATGCCCCAGAACTGGAACGTTAGTTCAAACATGTTGGTTTTTGCATGTCTAGACATTTCTCACATATAATCTCACTGGTTTTTGGGCAAACCTTTCCTCTGCGGCACCTTCAGCCAGATAGTAGGAAAGTGAAGAGGCTGGGTTAAGAGAAATGGAGGGAAGGGTTGATGAAAACAACAGATCTCTGCCTAATCCTTTTGTGTCCACTGTGTTAATCCGTCCGAGCAAAGCCCACCCCACCTCAGACTGTTTACCCCCCTCCCTCCCGCTTGTGCACCATGTATAGCAGACATTCCCACCACATAAACAATCAAATATGTTGTACTCAAACCCCCCAAAACAGGTCCCCCTCGACACACTGCTGCTGTAGCCTCTAGACAGTTCAGGTTCAACTCTTTGCCTGCTTTAATCCTGTTCACATCCTCGGCCGGCGGGAACGAGACTCTCATTTGCATGCCTGACTTTGTTTGCATATGTAAAACATATTTTCGGGTTGCGCCAGAGTGCCATGCTGCAAAAAAACTAATGTCTACCTTGCGTATCTTTTGTTTGGGTTCTGTTTTTGGTTGCTGTGAATGTAACAAATGCACTTGAGAGGCACACGGTACATCCGCGGCAAAGTATTTTTGTGTCTCGGTCTTGTTTATGAGCTGTAAAGGAGAGGGGGTGGGATGCGGGGGGGGGGGGGACGACGGATGGGGGTGAGGGAATCGGAGGGATGAGCGGTGGTTGCCAGGGGAAGAGGAGGTTGAGTCTAATGAGGTCACGCCCTGGCAACCCAGTTGGCTCCTCCTACCCTGCTCCCCATCTCTCCACTCAGGAGAGGAGGAATGCCCCCCCCCCACACCCCCCACAACCACCCCCCCCCTGCCAGATAGCGCTCTCCTTGGTGCTGAAGGCAGAAAAACACATTTGAGCTCCAGTTACAGTACAGACAAAATGAACACGGCACTCAAGAGCGGAAACATAAAACCAGGGAAAGAGGCACGCGTGTGAGTGCGCATAAACGTGCAGCTGAAGGCACTCAGTGAGGTGAAATGGTGTGAAGAAGCGGGAAACGGGAGGAGAGGTTGAGATTGATGACGTCGTAACGGAAGGTGGCTACAGTAAGCCGTGGGCGTGTTCTTGTTTTGATCTATCACTGGGAAGCACGGTGTCATCTGTTCCGGCACGGATTTGAGAGTTCAGACCTGCGAGGACCAGCTGGAACGGTGGAGCACGGACGGGACTCTCGCACCCCTCGTCTCTCTGGATGAGGATTCCTCTCACCATGTGTGACACTGCGGAAGATGTTGTGCACATGCGCGTCAGACCAAAGGAATAGATTTTAAATCCAAATTTTAAAGACTGTTGAGTGTCCAGGCTGGAAGCGCGAGCAACATCGGAGGTGAGAGCGTGTGTCTGTGTCATGCTCGCAGCAGCGGCGGCGGCGTTGGAGTTGGCGGGTGCGGTCTGCAGCTCCACTGCATCTCGCCTCCTGCTCTAGCATGTGCTGATGTGCGGAGTGGTAAAACTGGCACCTGGCTCGAGGTTTGGCACCATCGGAAAAGGAGGGCGCAGATCTCCCCATTTTCATCTCGGGGGAGGGAGCGTTGGGCCTTGCACCCAATGGCTCAGTTCCTCTTGAGCAGCAGCCTCATCCCGGCTCGCAGGGACTCCATCTAGCGAGCAGACCAATTGGACCGTACAATGGATGGATTTCTCTGTGGATTTAAGGGCAATAGTGCACCGGTGCCGCAGCAAAGGTCAAAGTGTGTCCTGGTGGATGTGCCAGGTGAAGACAGAAGATACAAACCAGCAGGGACACAGGGCCACTGTAAGTATACCCGCAACATTAAAATGCATCTCAAAGTTTGCATTTCCCTCCTTTTCACGAAATGCAAAATGGCACAGAGACGTCGGGCTGCCAGGTGCATGCGCCTCCACCGCGCACGCACAGCAGCATGCACGCGAGCATCCACTCATCCTGTCAGCCGGCTGTTGGCCTTGCAATCTTTTTGGCATTGTGTCTGCAAAATATCCACGCTGGCCTTCTCCTGTCACATGGTTGCCTGGAAACAGAAACTGTGTGCCAGTTTCATTTACATCTGCACCCAAAGTGCACATCTGTGTTCCAACTGTTGCAGCCAATGTCAACTGGGGCAGCCATGGGAAGGAGGAGGACCAGTATGGGAAAAAAAAAAAGAGCGAAAGAGAGAGATAGCGACCATATATCAAGTGAAGGAGACAGAGCAGAGTGGGCGGTGGGTGCGAGGGGGTGGACTTTGGTTGCACTGAGGTAAATGGGTGGCTGAATTGACAGGTTTTATGGAGATGAGCAAATAAGAATCGCATTTTACATTGATGAGTTATGGGAGGACAATCCAACGTGAAAGGTTTGGCTGATGAAAACAGCGTGATAAACACGCCGAGTCCAGCGCAAAGTGCTGCTGCAGGCTTACGGGGATTAGGCAGACAGGCTTAATTCAGCTCAAACACTGTTTGAACCGTGCCTTTCCTAGCACCGTGTCCTTCACATGTTGAACCGGTGCACTTCTGTCCTTTGAAAGCGAGTCGCATTCCTATTTGTGACATTTTCGATATCTCGGCGTGCCTGCTCGTCAGCGATAAGACATAGGGAGGGGTGAAAAAAATAAAAAATACCTCAATATCTTTTGCGCTTTGGTGACCTGGTTTGCACTATGAGATGCCGGCTGCCTCCCTGCCACTCGAGACTATGTGCCAAAATTAAAATAAATAAAAAATGTGGAAACGTGTAGCAGCAAGCAGATATACCCGTCAACCTCATGGCCACGCTGGATTTATTCGTAGACAGACAGAGGGTAGACGGATGCTGAGGTTGGGCAGACAATGGTCGGCCTCCCAATTGGCCCTGCAATCTCCATCTGGCTGCCCTCCAAGTACCCCCCACATACCCACACACACACACACACACACGCACACACACCAGCAAACATCCATACAGTTATCACTGACCCCCTCCCCCTCCGCCTCCCCCCGTGCAAATTCAGTGGTTGTCTCACACGTAAACAAACATGAGTCTTCGGCTCATCTGCAAACAGTGACCCACATAATAAAAGCATGAGCTGTCTTCCTCGCTGCCGACCATTCCGAATTCACATTTTAGGAACACACCCTGGTTCACGCACAATCTGAACTCCCGGCGTCCTCATTAGCCGCTGCGTGCCTCATCTTGGATGCCAAGTGGCTGCAAACAATTGAGAAAGAAACTGAGAAGGAGCAAACGAGAGGCAATGGTGTTTGTGCCGGGTTGTTTTTTTTACACACACACACACACACACACACACACACACACACACACACACACACACACACACACACACACACACACACACTGCCACGGTATGTCGCAAAGCATGTCACTGATGCTGTCAGTGAGAGTCTTTTATAGCTAGAAACAACTCCAGCGCGGACTATTTTTAGATCATCAAAAAGAAGACGATTGTGCACACATGCAAAACCACGCACTGCAGTCGAGTAAAAATTAATCTGTGCGACTGCTCCCGAGAGTATTACATTTTCTCATCGGAGCCCACGACACATTTCCTTACAGACGAGAGCTCCTTTTTTTTTTTTTTTTTTTAGTTCCGATCACAGCTATAACTTGATCAGAGCGAGAGAGTTCAGCCAGAAAACGTGCAAAGCCACACTTCGAAAAGCAACAGACGAATTGGATAGCCTCTTGCAAACGTCAACATTGCTTACCTTTTGACTGTTTGCATCTTGCTGCAATTATTTGTGTCGACTGCATGTCTAAACATGTCACATGACCTTGGAGGATGTCGCGATTCTCCAAGGAAACGGACATGATGCAAAGCCCATCAGCAAGCTCGAACCTTCCACGGCAAAGTGTAAGAAAAACTATAAATAGCTCAGCTATCTTTGGTTGATTTCGCACTGAGGATGACCTTGAAAAATGAAGGTTGAAAGAAAAAAAAAAAATCACACTCTATTGAGGCCACTTGTTTTGTGTTTCCAGTGGAATCATTTGAAGAATGATGAGCTCCAAGGAGGAAGAAACTATCCGCTTCTTCCAGTATGTCGAGGAGAACGGATTGAAAGCCTACAACGGGCTGCTGGCTCAGAACCTGGACCACGCCAGGAATGAGAAGAATAGGATATACCTGCAGGAGAAAAACGACAAGAAGAGAAAACAGGAGGAAGCCATAAGGAGGTAGGAAGATTTTTGGACAGGCGCTCTGAAAAAAGAAAAAAAAAAAGGGGGGACAACGGCAGATTAGATCGCAACATTACAAGCATTGCACACACGTGTTGGGGTTTTAGGGTGATTTTATGAACGGGATATTAATCATTGTCCTGCTTGTCAAGAGGTAAAGTGTTACTGGGTTCACAGCAGGAGAGAGGTTGTAAGAAGTGGGCCAAGTGGCCGCAGGGTCCCTGTGGCGCAGGCACTTTGCCACATTTGGAGGATTGCAAGTACAGACTATGCCCACCCGTGATCTATGGAGGATAATTAGTTTTTCACTTTTAGATTTATTTAGGACTTGGATTGAGGTCAGCACTGCTCCATTTTTTGGGGGAGAACTTTTCAAATCAGGAAAGGAAGCGTGTGCCATCACGTGAAATGTTTTAAGATGCAATCAGATGAGACTTGTCATTTGGGGAGGTCAAACAGAATTGGGAGAAGGGGGTTGTCTGGAACTTGCGTAGTCTTTACTATAGATGCACACCGGCCCAAAAACCAGGTCTAAAAGAGGCAACCTGGGCGGCACATGCAAACAGCGTGTTCATGTTGTGGGGTGGGGAACACAAAGTCATTGAGGAAGATTACGGAACAAATCGTGCAGAAGGCTGAGGAAAGAGTCGGCGCATGTGGTGACACTAAAGATTTGCACGCTATGCCTCCAGGCGTACCTGACACAGGTTCCCAAAGTTTTTTTTTCATCGACAGTGGATTCTGCGCCTTTGTACAAATGCTGGTGGATCCCGATTTTCGAATCAGCGCACGGCTCACTGCTCGTGTTCCGGTTCCCGCCAAGCTCAATCGAAACCTCTCGCCTGCTCAGACCACTACTAACATGCAGGGTAGACAGCTGGTCTAATGTGACCTATTTCATTCATAAATATATGAGAACAGTGGGCATCAAATCCCTCTCAATCACTGTATTATAGTTTGAAGTGATCCCTTGATTTACAGCACCACATTAGTTATAGGCTGGTCAGAATCAGGATCTTTATCGGCCCTTGAAGGTAAGTTAATGTTGCAGCAGGGACACATAGAAGACAGGGCCTCAGTTAAATAAAAGTAAATAAAAATAAAATGACACATCGTACTTGTACACATGATTGCAAACACGTGTTCATGCGGCATCGAGGTCACTGGCCAATTTAAAAAGTAAATTCAAGGCTGATGCCACAGGGCCCAAGTCAACAGGGCAATGTGTCCGGTACAAAGGCCACTGGGACCAAACATCATCAATTCTATTTTCTTTGAGTTCAAATTCAAGAAGTTAAGCGCCATCCAGGCTGTGATCTCATTCAGACAGGCCCAAAGTGACCTTAAAGAGAAAGGGTCCTTTTTGCAACACGGGACATAGAGCTGACTGTAAGCAGTGAAAGGAAATGTCATGCTTTTCTTAAGATGGAACCCAGGGCCAGAAAATACACTGAATAGAGCAGGGGCCCCAAAACTGAACCATGTGGCACACCATATTGGGGCAGAGTGGAACTCGGAGCAACCAAGGCTAACATAAAAACTCCTGCTTACCAAATAGGATCTAAACCACTCTAGAGGGTTGTGACTAATGACATTCTGGTGCAAACGAGACAAGAGAGCGTTCTGTGGTTCTTCTGTGGTCAACTGATACTGTCATTCCACTGCAATGAATCCAATGTGACTTGATGGTGGCTGGATTAGATAATGATTAAAAAAATCTCCAAGCGATTAAGTCAAAGCAGTCGTATTCCAAGACATGACTGTATTTTTAAAAAAATATGCAAGGCTTTGGCAACATCTTTAGCCTCTATTAAGAGACCGTGAGACCAAAGAAACTGTGAATGGGAGTTTTTCGGGAAATAACTGGGAATAGTTTCACAGTACACTAATTCATGCCACTGAAAATGGTACCATGCTTGACTTGTTGTCCAATAATGAGTACCGGTAATAGAAATAAGAATGTGTCTCCGCAACTAACATTGTTGCTACTGTATTTTGTTTGTATAGTCACATTTCAAATGCATTTAGCGTTTTACTCATGCCACTGAAAGGACGGGATGTTAATTTGGTGACAGGACAAGATGATGCCTACAGAGAGAACAGTTTAGCGTCCTTTTACCCTTGCACTGTCTTTCAACTGTTGCCCAATGCTGAAATATTCATACATAGTCACGCGAGGAAGAGTCTCAAAAAAATGGATTTTTCATGAGGCATATATGTAGGTCGATTAAAGGACCCCCACGCATCCACCCTGCAAATCCCCCTGTTTTATTTTTTTGGGGGACTGAGAATGAATGAGAGAGCGAGGACTCCAGTGAACACGCTCACATTCACACATGCAAATAGGGCTGCTTCTGAGTGCACGCGTGTGAGCAAAATAGATACATTATCAGCGTGAGAGAAAAGATAGGCAGAGTGTAGGAGGAAAAAAAAACCTTCCAAGAGTAAGGAGGAGGGAGCGTGTGTGTGTGTGTGTGTGTGTGTGTGTGTGTGTGTGTGTGTGTGGGGGGG